GTCCGTGGGATTTGAACCCTAGACCTGCTACTTGGAGAGGGTGACAACTTGACCACTTCACTAAGCCGCCACACCTCTTTTCCCCCTTTTTGAGTTATCTTGTAGAATCTATATGTATTTAAAAATTTTTCTTCCTTGCAACACAGACCCACTACAGCATAATTTACCTGGGTCTTCTGTAAATTTTTTGGAGTATTAGACCTTGGGTCTTCTGTGAATTTTGTAATGGGTATTTTGTATTAGACCCGGGTCTCTTGGTCAGTGCTCTACGGTAATAAATATTCTTTAATAGACTCTGTTCTGTATAGCTTGGATTTATTTAGTGATAGAATTGGGTTGAGATTGGTCGACTAGCTGACTCAATAGAGTCTAGTAGATTTCGTTCACATCCAATTCTTAGCACAACCGTAACTCTAAATCAAACCAATCTTGCTGGCAAAATGGTTGTCGGCGAAATGACTATTAACAAAATGGGGTTTGCTATAAGAATGTTAGTAAAAGTGATATGTAAATAACTTAGAAATATAATAATACTCTTGGCTTCCGTTTTTAAAGCATATGTAGCTCAAATAATAAACCTTTATTTAAATAATAATTATAATAATAATAAACTTAATTAAAAATATTTTAATCATTATAAATATAAATGGCATAATTTTAACATGTTCGACCTATTTCAATATTCAAAATTTCAATATTATAGATATCTTAACTAAGTAATTAAAAAAAATATATATATACCAAGTACGAATAAATTTCCAAACCGCAACCCAGAAGCGAGAGGCGCATTTATTTAAGAACCTTATTCTCAGTAAGCCCGTAAGATAGATTTTAGTAATAAAGATGATGTAGAATGTAAACGAAGCCAATAAGCCTTCGCTTCAATTAAATAAGTTTCAAGGTGTTTCACTGTCACAAGCAATAAGCATTAGCATAAACACAGGCTCAAAATAAGTTATGCTAAAACGACAAAAGCGAAATTACCGCTATAATATGAAACCTAGACGAAAAGCGAAGCCAGACGAAGACGAAGAACCAGCTTAAAGGGCAGAATTGTGGCAGAATCGGAACCTTCGGTGCGTACAACTATATTTAAATTACATCATAAGAATTAATCGTCACAAGGATTAATCGTCACTCAAAAGTTTATCTAAATTTGAAGGATTACCTAAAGCCGGGTGGTATTTTATAATCTGCAATTTTGAACAGAATTATGGACGATAGGTTGTTCTATCGATTAGGTGATGCAGATCTACTGATATTTAGCGATGAATAAAGATTCCATTAAGGAATTTTGCCTACTCTAGTCCATTGTTCTACTGAAAAATTTTGCCTGCTCCCGTCCATTGCTTCATGGATACAGTACCCGGGTCTTATTCAATCATTTTTAAAATTGAATAGTACCGAGTACTATTCACAAATCCAATTGGTGAAGAAGAGGTACTTTATGTGGTAGGATACTATTTTCGGAGGTACTGTCTAACATAGAATAAAATATTACTTTTATACCATTTGTATCGCATATATTTTTTAATCGTGCACTGAGGTAGTGATAATATTCTTTAAATAGAAAGAAAGAAAAAAAAAAAAAAAGAAAGAATTTTTATCTGGAACTTCATCATAAAGAGGCTTATAGTGACGTTGATATCGACTGAAAAAAGTACACGAAAACAATAAGCGAATCTACTAACTATTAATAAACAGGCGAATTTTTAGAATGAAGACTTATTTGAGATTGACGATGACACCGAAATGTTCAGAGAAGAGTTTGAAAAGCCGACTCTTTACCTTCTAATGATAATACCAATAACCATAATTGTGCTAGTGTTGATAATGAAAAAACGGCTCAAAGATGCAACGTCCTGGAATTCGTAGAGTGAACGAACTATCCAGATAGTAAGTAATAACTAGTCTCAATTACAATTTTCAGGCGTAATGTAAGCAGTAACTAGATGGAGTATAAATAAATATATTTTGTTAGATATAATCTCGAGATATATAAAAGCGAGTCTTTGATTTTTAACGAAGTGACCAGCTGAGTGATTTCTTCTAATTACGCAGCATCTAATACATACATTGCGACGCTTTTCTTTAAACCTTACATCAATGCTAAAATATCCTAGAAAGAATACAATAATTATTTTTTTGCATTTATAATTTTTTCATATACTTTGGAATCAAAACATTATTTGTCAAAATTCTAGACTTCATTATTATACGGACCATCTCTTCTTAGCTGTGGAATCCTTTATTTTTTTTGATACTCGACTTTGATTAGAACGATGCTGGGCTAGGAGCTAAAATAAAATGTTTAAATTTATGCGAATAAAAGAAAAGCAATTCGAATTAGTGCGAAATATATTGATAATAAAAGAAATAATACTATCATATCACCCGTGAATTCTATCATTAGTAATCATGAAGCCTTATGTTTTCACTTCAATATCTACTATTTTCTTCTTGCCGAATGTAAAGCATTTTACTAACAGCATTTATTCATTTTTTTCTATAACCTTCTGATCTATTGGGATCATAACCATTTTAGATTTAGTTGAGAACTATCTTTAATAATACTCATTCTAGATAATCATCGCAAAATTTCATACGTATACAAATATCTTTACGTACAACTTTAGAAGCACAATCGTTTTTTTATAAACAAGTTTCTAATAATTCAAAAATCGAGTATTATTTATATGAAAGTAATATATTCAAGAATAGGTATTTATATATGCGAGGGCATTTATTTATTATTAATTGCGTATATATGATGTCAATCATTTTTGGCGTAATTCCTACGTAACCCTATTTTTTTTACTCTTATGCTTCCCAAATGACAATTCTATTAGTAATATCTCTTTTCCACTCAATGGTTTAACAAAGCTATAACAAATTAGGAAAAAAGTGAGACTGTCGCTATTACAGTACGTACATATTTACATTTGCATAATAACAGAATATCACTAAGTAAAATATTTACATTTGCATAATAACAGAATATCACTAAGTAAATTTTACAAGTCTGTAGATAGGTATTACTGCTATATCAGTATTTTTACCTATAGAAATTTCATAGGGTATGAACCGGCTAAAAATGTTGTGAATTGGTATAATAGAATCTCTACCAATTGAAAAAAATTTTTTTTTCCATATTTCTATATTACAACTCCTTAAATCATTATCGATTTGGTAATGAAATCGGGTTTTATGGTTTTGAACCAGCAAAAACCACTTAACATATGCTAAATAGTGTACACGTTTTTTGCCATCTATAGTTATTTCATGTTCGAAATAAAATTGGGCCTGCCCAGGGAACAATTCAACAACTTTATTATTCTGAATGAATTTTGCTAGAATGTACGAACTTCTTTGATATTTTGGAGCCATACTTGATCCAAATATTTCGGATCTAACCCGAATACGCCCAAATTGACTTATAAGTGGACGAACAGTTGTTGATGGTCCGATTTCGCCAATAGGAACAAAAGTTGATTTATAATAACAATTATTGTAATATTTTACTAATAGTTTGTATATATTATCAGGCAAGACTACTTGTAGATTCTCTGGTTTCATCATCTCACCAGGGAAATCCTCGGCACCAGTATTTATTTCATTCTCTAACTTGTATATCATTAAAAATTGATGCAGTTCAGCAACTTCAAAATTGTCATTCATTGCCAAACTTCCAACAGTGGAACGTGGGGCAAGTAATTGAAGTGCTGTTAATAACTCACTATTACTTGAATTAGAAATCAAATATTCTAATTGCCAGGTTTGCGTCATGGTCTTTAGTAGCTCTGCTTCTATCTGGCGCTTACTATTTTTATATGATCCTAGGACTCCATTCATTCTTTCAAATGAATAACACCAATACGAATACAAAGGACCATAATCTAAACAGCATTCAACTATATGAAGTGACAAATGAATATTAGGTGTTATTGTTTCTGATCTGTAATTTTCTTCAATTAGCCTCATTTAATATATTTTTTATCAATAATATGCGATACAAGCAAAGTACAAGCCCTAACAAAATTGGCTAAAATTTTTCGATCAGAACTTTTTAAAAGATCCCACATTATTGGTGTTGCATAGTATAAAATAAAGAACTTTCACTGATCCGCAGTAAATCCAGAAAACCCATCCCTAGTTTCAATTTTATTAGGTATTCTTTCTAAATCCACAGGTAATTGTAACTTTTTTGCTCAATTAGCCATTATCCGAAGATCTGATTTAGAAATTTTTCCTTCACTGATCCACTTCTTTATTATCTATTGTGAAATTCCAAGAAACAAACAATGCATAGGATCAACGACCAAATGTCTAATTGGATTATGATATGGCAATCAAAGAAGCTCTGTCCATTTAACATGTGTATTCGAGACATGTTTTTTTCTTTGTTCCTCTGTTGTACATTTTAACAATGCTCGAGCATTTTTTATATGTTCATCCAAATCACGTGCTTTGAACTGATTGTTTAATTCTTTATAATTGCCTTCCTTATTTTTATTTTTTTTATCTTTTTTATCCTTTTTTTTATCTTTTTTATCCTTTTTTTTATCTTTTTTATCTTCTTTCTTATTTTTTTAATCTTTATTCTTAGATATTTGTTCATAACACCTATGACATCCGGACAATGCAGATATATACCCACATAGTTTTCTTGTCGCCGGAATGTCATATGAGCAGCAGATTACCGCAAGTCTAATTATTTTTCCATTTGGTAGTGCTATGCCTTTCCACAATTCCTCTAATTTATCTATGATAGGTGCCAAATAGTGATTAATCCTGTGCAGCTTAGCCTCACTAGGACCTGGCAAAATTCCGAGTATTAACATATTCTCTTTCTTAAACCTTATCTCACGTGGGAGATTACAGATAACTTCATAAATTACACCACAACTATATACAGAAGATTTGAATGGCTGAAACCAATCGAGGTTAATTAAAATTCCTAAATTACGATCTGCCGTTTTTGGTATGAAAAAACAGAAATTATCTAAACCATTAACTTGAGAAGGAAAAGTTTTCCAAATTTCTCTATCGTAGATATCAGAAATTGTATTAGTATCTACAGGTTGATTTGCCTATTTTTGGAGTAACATATTAAAACCATCTTGTTGATACATTAAAAATAATTGAGACTTAATACTTGGTAGCGGATATTGCATTCGTGGTTGCCAAACATGCCTGTTTACTGTTGAAATCTTTTTTAGTAACTCCTCTCCACAAGGCTTTCGCCAACTTGGTTTTGGATGATTTTGAAATTCCTTATATATGTATTTAAACCCATCAGAATCTTGATTATCTGGTATTATTTCTGTTGTATTATATAATTTATTACATTTGGGGCAAACTGTAAATGTTTTATTCTGTTTATCAAAATTTAGTATATCCCATGCAAGATCAATGTTTGACGGGAACTTATTAAAACGGCTTTTATCGATGCTTCTTAAAAGTATGCAAAGAAAACTGATGAGGGTATTAGTTACAACATTTGAAAGTTGGAACCTTTCTTGAAACTTAAATACTCATATAAGAATCCATAATATATCATTAACATTTATATTGGGCTCAGGAATATGTATAGGCTTATCGAAATCAACTTTAGGAGCTTGAAATGGATTAATTGAAATATTTTCTAAATCTTTAATTTCTTCATAAAATTCCGAATCATCTAATGCATCTTCAGAGTAATTATTATCATTATCATTATTTTCTATCACATTATTGCCATTATCCAAAAACTTATCATTATTCTCAAAGCGATTATTATAAAACTCATCATTATTCCCAAAGCGATCGTTATAAAACTCATCATTATTCTCAAAGTGATCGTTATTCTTAAAGCGATCGTTATCCAAAAACTCATCGTTATTCTCAAAGTGATTGTTATCCAAAAACTCATCGTTATTCTCAAAGTGATTGTTATTCTCAAAGCGATCGTTATCCAAAAACTCATCGTTATTCTCAAAGTGATCGTTATCCAAAAACTCATCGTTATTCTCGAAGCGATCGTTATCCAAAAACTCATTGTTATTCTCAAAGCGATCGTTATTATATTCATTATACTCAATATATTCATTATCTACATTATGCTTTAACTTGGTATGATTTAAATTTTTGGTTTTGCTTTGACTTTTTTGGGACCAAAATCGACTATTTCTTTTTCTTTTTTTTGTAAATATAAGAGATGACGTTCGAATTTGGTTAACCATTTGTTTTGGAGTAATAGATTTTATTGCCAACTTTACTTCATTAAGACTAATTTCGTCTAAGCTCTTAGTATATAGTTTGATAACTATTTGTTTTTCTTCTCTTAGCGAACTCATTTTGAAAATGAGTTTCTTCTTCTTTATGCTGCCTTTTTGTTTTCGTATCGACCATACATTCATCAGGATTTTTATAACAACATTTTTTGCAGCAATATCTAACCTTCTGTTGAACTTTAATGTATTGCAACATGATGAAGAAATTATGAATAAAGAAGTAATGATGATATTATTTAAAAGAAATGCTGAGCCATTATCTAGAAGCGAAAGATAATATTATAATGGGGTAATAAAGAGCATTCATGTATCAATCTTGCAATAATTAATCTATTTATTCTAGATTCATAGCTTATCAGCTAAAATATTCTTTATAATTTGACGAGTTAAATTTATTAATACTTTATTTAATTTCTAGAACACTAAAATTCAAAGTTATGCAATATTCTGTGCATTTTGATTACAATCAAACTTAAAAAAAAAAAATTGTTTATTCGAAATTGTAATAAAATTTGATTCTAGCTTGTCTGCCTAAAATGCATATGACGAACATGAAACAATAAAGCACTATAGTACCTGAATTCTTTACACTAAATAAAAAAGCATTATCGATTAAGAAAAAAAATAAATAAATATTATTTGAATAACTCATTCTAAATCGATAATAATGATAAATATTATTATATACTATATAATATAGAGATTTATATAAATATGCATAAAAATAATAATGATACACAATCGAATAAATGTTGACTTCAGAGCAGGGCTAAAACGAAGTATATTAAATGCCGGCTATCCAATAAATATCATTTTTGATTCACATTACATTAAAATTTTGTTGAGACAATTAACTTAATTTTTGATGCAATACTTTAAACAATAAGCAGTGGCACAGTAAATGGCCACCATTCACTATATGTCATTTTAGCCCTGCTTTAGAGCAGAGCTGTAAATACCTATTGATTTTCCCGACCATTCAAAAATATCGCTCTTGATATAAAATCATTATTCTAATTATCAAAAAAGACACTTAAAACAATTGGCAGCATGGCCGGGAAAATAAATAGCCTTGCTTCAGAGCTAGTAGATTTTGATACTAAAATAATTACTGCTCCTTCTGGTTATTCTTACAAAGAGCAGCAATTAACCTTATATAATTAATTATTCAACCGACGGAGAAGAAAAGTTGTTTGTCAAAAATAAGCAAATACAAGAATGAATTATCAAACAACCTCATTTATGAAATTAGTAGCATCTAAAATAGTGCTATTTTTTAGCAAAAATAGCTAGCAACATTTCTACTTTTGGCGCCAAGCATGTAATTACTTTTGTTCTTAAACTAAACGAGCATGTTTCAAACGTTGACTATGTAGAGAGCTTACTAAAATGATAGATCAAGAACTCATTGAAAGAATATACGATTTCATTAAAATTTATATTTGACAAGTATAAATTTTGAATGGCTGTAAAATGAATAAGTATTTTCTGCCCTGAAAAATTAGTGATGCAAGCAAAAAAAGGAAATCTAATAATAAAATCATAATTAGGCCACACAAACTTATACTATTGGTTCTCATAACCTGGCCGGGTCAAATTCAATAAAAGTTTGAAAAAAATTTTTTACTATATTTATTATCTGGATAAGCTTTTTAAATTTTTGTAAAAAAATTTTATATGTTTTTTACATATAAAATTTTTTGAAAATAAAATTAAAAGCCGGGTCGCTGGGTCACAAGAAGTTACTTGGTGATATGAAAACCAATAGTATAAGTTTGTATGGCCTTAAGTCCTAACGGTCAAACTTATATGATAATTGTCTCTGTAGTATGACTCTATAACAATAAGACAACTACTTAGTGAAAGGACCGATTAAAAGCGCTTATAGACAGTGAACTTGAAATTATCGAAATAGCTTATTAAATATATTTGATTAATACATAAAATTTAATGCAATTATATTCACCTTCAGTGAGTTCTTAATCGATCAACTCTCTAAAATATGCATGTTATTATTTTATGTGATCAGGTTTTTGTCTTCTAAATGAACGAATACAATAATAATTCTATTTTTTGATAAATCAAGGAAATACAGTAATCAATTTAATCAATTGAAGAATTATGATATTCTTACTTCTAAGATTGAAATATAAAAAGAGTCATATATCGCCAATTCATGATTCGAATCAAAGTTTGACTTTTTTTTTCTAAAATTTTTGAAGTCTACATCATTTCTTATACTATCCTTGCATTATTTTAGAAATGACTAGAGAATCTTTTAAACCTCAAAAATCTAAACCGCAAAAATCTCCTAAAACTCAAAAACCTTCTAAAACTCAAAAACCTTCTAAGACTCAAAAATTAAAACATAAAAATAAAACTAGAAGTAAATATGAAATTGAGAGAGAAAGCAAAAATAAAAGTGATTATGAAAGTGGAGATGAAAGTAGTGAAAGTGAAAGTAGCAAAGACGAAAAAAGAAGTAAAAAAAAATTGTAAAGAAAAGAAAGTACAGGAGCGAAGACAACAGAGAAAAGAATAAAAAAAGCAAATTTAAAGACAATAGCGAAATATCTGCTTTACACAAAAGAAAACGTATTGATGATAATTCAATTGTAAAAAATATTAAACGACGATGAAATAATTTAATAGAGGATGAAGAAATGTCAGAAGGAGAACTATCAGAAGAGGAGGGTGAACCAAAGTTAAAAAAATATATCTCTATTAAAGAAGTGCCACGTGAACTTTTAAGAGCACTACGTGTAAGTATATTTAAGTTAAAAAGAGCTTGGTATGCAACCTTAGAAAATTCTCGATAGATTAGTTTTTTTTCTTTTATTTGGTTAGTGAGAATTACGATAGTTTAGTTTTATTTATTTTTTTTTTGTGTGCTACTGCCATTTGGTTTTTGAGGATTACGAATGATAGATACTGCAGCAGTGGTACACCTTTCTTTGGGATTCGTCACCACGTTCCAATAGTTTAGTTTTTTTTTCTTTTTTTTTTTCATGTGCTACTGCTGAAAAGCCATTTGGTTTGTGAGGATTATGAATGGTAGATACTGCGGCAGTGGCACACCTTCCTTTGGGATTCGTTACTACGTTCTGATAGTTTAGTTTTTTTTTTCTTTTTTTTTTTTGTGTACTACCGCTGAAAAGCTATTTGGTTTGTAAGGATTACGAATAGTAAATACTGCGGCAGTGTCACACCTTCCTTTAGGAGTTCGTCACCACATTCCGATAGTTTAGTTTTTTTTTTTTTTTTTCATGTGCTACTGCTGAAAAGCCATTTGGTTAGCAAGGATTATGAATATTGGATACTGCAGTAATGGCACATCTGACTTTTAGGGTTCTCCAATAGTTTAGTTCTTTTTTTTTTTTGTTTTTCGTCACCAAGTTTCGATAGTTTAGTTTTTGGGGGTTCATCACCAAGTTTCGATAGTTTAGTTTTTTTTTTTAATTGAATATGTTCTACTGCTAAAATTTTAGAAAGAAATCAACCTAATTACGTCAAGGTTACGACCTGAGCATCAACTTAAACTTTATAAAACCTTTGAGGATCAACGCGACCTTGTTAAAACCTCAATACTTTCACGAATCACGAGTGCCTTGGACAAGGAAACATTCCCAGTAGTCAGTGGTATAATTTATAAAATGCTACACCAACGCCACCGACATCAAAGGGATGAATTCATTAAAGGACAAAAATCGCCAACAGAGGTGGACAATCATAAAAGAAGGAGACATAAAAATGGTCGTAGAGATGCGGTATGCAAAATATCATATTGTTAACTTAGCCATTACATATATATTAAGTCTTTCTTTTTTCTAATAATAGAAAAGAAAACAAAGAGCGAAAACGATAGATCATTTATTTGAAGTAAATAATAAATTAATAAGAAAGATAACAAAAGAAGACTTAATGATATTACAGACAAGTAATTGTTACCATTCCCCAGAAATCTCAGAAATAAATAAAAAGAAAGATCGTGACTTATAACTTGAAGTGGAGATCACAAGCTGTGAGTCCATAATTTTTATATCTCGCATCTTTATTATCGACTATAATATGAGTTTGCACATCACGAACTTTGAGAGTCATCTAGCTAATAATAATATTATGTAATTGTTTGATATACATCTATGTTATTGAAGGACCATAGAATGTATAAAATATTTGTTAATTTTATAAAAAAAAGTTCATGTGCATTTAGAGAGAATAGTTCCATGTGTTATTAGTAGTTGGTGTTAAGATATATAGAAATTGTATATAAAGTATGCATATATATAGAGATTATTTTATTTTATTTTATTTTAAAGCTAAAAGAGTTGTTAAGGAACTATGTGGACAAAATTCATAATGAAATGTCCAAAGTAAAACCAACTCGAATAAGAAGTCACGGACCAGGGTTTGCGTCGGAGGACAAACCACCAATAAATGCGCCAAAATGGATGTTGGCCAAATACAAAACTAAGACCGTAGAAGAGGAGAATAAAGTCGATGAAGCCGATGAAGTTGAAAGTGAGGATGAAGTCGATGGGAGTAATAAAGTCGATGGGAGTAATGAAGTCGATGGGATAATGGAGTTGATGAAGAGGAGAATGAAGATGATGAAGGAGAAGAATGAGATTGAAACTTCGTAGTGAAATAGTCAATAGAGTTATTCTATCATGTTTAATAAATATAAATTAGTCATAGAAACCTCCTATCTTAATTATTCAATATAAAATTAATCCGTTGTTGAACAAAGGTGTCACAGGCGATCTATATCTTCAAAAATCCTGCATATGATTTATCGAGTTGATAAGTGTCTCTTTTTATTTTATCATTTATTGTTATCCTTCATTATACCTTTAACTTATTTCTCTAAATTTCCAGGGTATTTGTCATGAATTGCAAATGCCGGTTCATGAGACAATTAATGAACATAGAACATGAAAGATTGCTTATACTGGTGACTTATGATATAACTTATTAGTAACAATTTTGGCAACTCTGATTAGAGTGTCAGTATTGCAAAACTATGCATTTGGCAAATCTTAAATTATGTGAATTATGTGGTTCTGGAATTAGAATAGAAAATTAGACCACTTCTGCTTTACATTTCTACGTATTTATATACTAACGCTAATTAACTATTACTACATTGTTATGCAATAATTATTACATATAACTGCATTACATAATTTTTGTATATTTAATTGTCTGGAGTTATTAACCAACAAATTGGCACGGCAGATCCTTGATTTTGATTGGCTAACGGCCAAGGATCTTCAAAATTTTGGCCCACATTACATAATTGTTTGCTGATTTTCGGCCGGAATTAACTTTTAATTTTTATTATAAAAATAGAAATTTTTAAAAAATAAGCCCGCATTATGGTAAAATTGACCCAGGAACAATTTTCACTTAATAGGCGGCTATAATTTCATTAGTAAATTTACGAGTAATTCTGGCCTAACTTTTTGATTGTTGCTTTTAGCCAATCAAAATCGTGAATCTTTGTTGCGGCAGCTAGGGTTAATACTACTGCAAGTGAGAGATCACGTGGAGTTGTCCGTCCAGCTGCAATGCTGATTGGTTGAATACATGATGATCATTTACGTATATACGCTACAATAACTAGAAATTAGTTTTTAATATAATTTTATATTTTACGCTCTGGTTTCCAGTTCCTAGTTATTACATTTGTGTCTCTTTAATTACTACATTTTCGATCATCCATTATATTAATTACGTCAACCATCACTCACATATAGATTAACAAATAAAAAATATAGTCATATTCAGCCTTTTTATAATACAGTCAGACCTCCCTAAATGCACGTCGCCGGGACCAGCTCTGGAGCGTGCATTTAGGGAGGGCTGCAATTAGAGAACACTAATAAAATCACAAATGACTATTGTCACGTGATAGATATGGCTTTATTGGCCTAGAAATAATAAATTTGATTGGTTGTTAGTTACATGAATGCATTTATGGAAGGGACAGTCTACCGACACAGCATTCATGACTTATTTTCTTATCAGCACAGCAATTAGTAGGGACTCCCTGCCAATTGTTGTGCCGATAAGAAGATAAGTTATGTGAATTGTTGTATCAGTAGACTGTCCCTTATGGGAGTTTTTATAAGTGGGCCAGACAATTAGCGTACACTTACAGAATAAAGAACATGCACTTATCTATAAGTCCCACCATGGGCCCAGACTTATGTCATGCATTTAGAGAGGTGCTGCATTTAGGGAGGGTGCATTTAGGGAGTCTGACTGTAAATAAAATTAACTGTTAATGATTTAAATAACATCTCTTATAGATGCTAGTTGTAGTAATAGTGATAACATAATAATAAATTTGGTAGCCAATGGAATGTAAAATCTGATAATATTAATATATATCTCTGATTTTAAATCACATGCTATTATACCGTTATTATACCGTTATTATACCGTTATTATACCGTATTATACCAATACCATAAAATTACATTCACAATCCTATACGTATTATATGAAGGGTTGGTTTTAGAAAGTTACCATTATACGTATACTACCCTACCCAGAATTAGGCTAACGTTAGAGTATAATATATACTACCCTGCTCAGAATTAGGCTAGCGTTAAAGTATAATTCAGGCTATTAATTGTAAGCATTTATTGTTTGAATCGCTATTTTTAATTAAATTAATAATAAAAACAATGAAAAGTATTGTGTTTGAAGTCAGATGATTTATGCGGTGATATGTAACAATGCATTTGATTGTGGTAGTTTCATTTACCATCATCGGTACCTATTTATATATATATATATATATATATAGATCTGAATATATATAAAAACATCGATTACAGTAAATAGCTATAATATTGAGTTGGCCATTAGGAATTGAAGTTGTCTTGTGAAAGTCATTTTGGCAAGACTGATGGGATATTCTATATTAATTTGTTATTAAGTTATATAGCAAGCAGATTAAAAGAAGCCAGTCAACGCGTCTCAACATGTAGTAAGTTGCTTATTCAAGAACGTTACTTAGTTCTCACAGTCTTAGTTCAACTGACATTCTTTAAGATATTCTGATAAGACGCAAGAGCAGAAAACTTTGGATATTATCATGAAAGGGTACACTGATAAAATGTATAGAATTGGGATCGATTACATAGCATCTACGGTCATAATTCAAGATGTTGCTGAAACTTCAAAAAGCTACAATTGACGTTTGTTATAATGCTAGATATATACCTACTGTAATATTGACATGCCTAGTGGTGCAGCTGTAATGAGGTAACCGATTGTAGTGAAGTTGCAACTTTTTTGTAGCATTGATGTAGGTACGTATTGATGTAGATCTAACTCTGGCAGTATTATGCTCGAAACACTATTATATGAATCCTAATTTCGGTAGAATATAGTAATTCTATAATAAATAGCTTTTAAAAACAAATAGTTAGTTTGTCATAATATTGCTTCAAAATAAATACTAGTTAAATAATCAGGAACAGACTTAATTGATAAATAAGTTGACTTCACATAATTTTAATATTACGACTTTCTCTTGTATATACAATATATAGCATGGTTTTATAGCATATACGATGCATAACACGTTAAATAGCATTACCTCACATGTGTTGCAATAATACAACAAGTATTACTATGCACTTATGCCGCAATTTCAGTATGTCATAAAGTTCACGAATGCTGCCAAGAAAATCCTGTATTGGGATTTTGAATTTAAAATTTACTGGGCACAATCTTTAACGAATCGAATGAGTGAGCCCGGTAAGCAACAAACTTGAACCCTGATAGCAGGTTTCTTGATGGCATTTACATATACTATCACGGGTTCTGTATCATTAAATTCGGGGTCTAGATTAAAATGGCTCTTAAATTGGTTGCTTGATCCGATCTAATTTTGACCCTGGTTTAAGTAATCTGTAACTTCATATCACATACTCACGTCTTAACAAACAATATTTATAGTACTCCAAGTCTAAAAAAAATCACCCCGATTGATACCTGATTTATATTGGTTTTATCCTGATAGCATGCCGATTTGTACCATAAATCGGCATCAATCAAGCAGTCAAATTTAAAAATTAGTATAAATTGGGTAGTTATCAGGTTTAAATATAGTATACCCGATTTGTACCTGATTTGCCAGCTTTTGACTAGTGATAACAAATGAGATAATAAGCTTTCAAATTCAAAAAAAATTTAACTAACTGTGAATTTTTTTTCTAACAAGGAGGAAGAACTAATAAGATGGGGTATGTTGGTTTGTGAACTTGCTTTTCCGATTTTAATTCCAGTAATTAACGATCTTTTATATTCACAAGCTTAATAATTTTTTAATTCCACGATTGACGATCTTATGTTGGTTGCTTTTCTGATTTTAATTTCAGTAATTAACGATCTTTATTTATATTCATAAGCTTAGTAAAATTAATAACGCGAATTTACTTGAAAGCATATATAATGATAAGTAGACATTTATGCTTTTGGTTTGTGAGCTTGGTTTTCTAATTTTTTTTGCGACTTACCAGAACTATTTCAGATTAAAAATATTCTGTAGTTATCCTTATTTTTGGCAAAAAGATAGTGGTAATTTTCCAGAGGTGTTCACTAACTATCTACTTGACTAGCCAGAATAGCATCAATTAAATTATCCCTTTCCATAGCTAGTAAAGTTTGACTATCAATGGTTTTATTTAAAGTATAAAAGGTAAAATTACTAACAAGAGGTTGATGGTCTTTTTTATTGGCTCATTTTCCTGTGATAACAGCTTGGAGGCATTTTTGGAGGAAAGTGCGGCAGTAGTTAAATTCAGTGATTAGCGATCTTCATGTTCACATGCCGAATGAAATAAATAGCGCAACGAAAATGACATATTGGTTTGTAAATTTGCTTTTTTGATTTAATTTAATATATATGTAAATTATTTTCCACAAATGAATAGTCTATAAATGCACTTTACCAAACAACATGCATTTATAGGAGGCTGACCATATTGGATTTAGAAAATCTACTCTTATTTTGAAATAACGCACTTGGGCATGTTCGAAATAACATGCAGGTAGACTTATTTCGCACTTATATGGTAATGGTTGGCAAGTACTTATGTTCTTATTACCAAACAACATGCATTTATAGGAGGCTAACTATATTGAATTTAGAAAATCTATTCTTATTTTGAAATAACGCACTTGGGCGTGTTCGAAATAATGCATAGGTGGACTTATTTCGCGCTTATACAGTAATGGTTGGCAAGTACTTATATTCTTATTTTGTAACTTGTCATTTTGATTTTAATTCTCTAATTAATGATTTTTAAATTTACAAGCTGATGCAGCAAATGACAAAATGTAATAGTAAGTACTTACATTCTTGATTATTTTTCTGATTTTAAGTCACTAATTAGAGATCTTACACTAGGTAAAATAAATAACACGAACAAATAACTTGAAGCGTTATGTAATGGTCAGCAAGTACTTATAACTTTAGTTTGTGATTTGTTTATCTGATTTTAATTCCACTACTTACCAATCTTTAAGTTCACAAGCCTAATGAAGTGAATAACTTAAAACAGCAATATATCATATAATACGGCTTTATTCAAAATGGTGCGGTTACAAAGAAAGATATTCA